TGAGTACTTGTCTAAAGTTGCCAGATCCCCTGGAACAGGAGTTACAGACAGTGGTGAGCTGTCACATGGTTGCTGGGAATTGAACTCAGGACCTCTGGAAGAGCAGTCATGGCTCTTAATTGCTGAGCCATCTCTCCAGCCCCAGAGTTCTGCATTTAGTAATCACACAAACACCCCAAGCTAACAACCAAAACATGCATGCACAGGGCATATACAGACCTGTTCATGTTCCATGACTGGCTCATCATTCTGTCTGAGACACTATGAGACTTGTTTTGTTGATTCTGTAGGTTGGTTTTCCTGGGTTCCTCAACCCCTCCAGATCCTACATTTTTTATCCCTTCTTTCCACAGGATTCCAAGAACTGTAGGTAATGTTTACGTAGGGATCTCTGCCTGTGCAACCATCAGCTGCTGGAAGAATTCTCTCTGGTGACATTTGTGCTAGGAATCAATCTATGATTTTAGATACAATTCATTTCATTTCTTTTTTCTCATTTATTTGTATTTAGTTCTACCCTAATTCTGGAAGCCATCAAGTTCTGGTTTCTGGCCATCCTACCATTTCCCTTGTCCATTGCTCCTCCCCTCTCCAGTCCTAAGAGCAGTCAGGGTTCCCTGCCCTATGGGAAGTTCAAGGTCCTCCCCCCTCCATCCAGGTCTAGGAAGGTGAGCATCCAAACAAACTAGGCTCCCACAAAGCCCGTCCATGCAGTGGAATCAAAACTCAGTGCCATTGTCCTTGGCTTCTCAGTCAGCCCTCATTGTCAGCCACATTCAGAGAGTCCAGTTTGATTACATGCTCCATGACTCCCAGTCCAGTTGGCTTTTGTGAGCTCCCATTAGATCAGTCCCACCATCTCAGTGGGTGGACACACCTAGCATGGTCCTGACTTCCTGCTCGTGTTCTCCCTCCTTCTGCTCCTTGTATGAACCTTGGGAATTCAGTCCAGTGCCACAATATGGGTCCCTGTCTCTATCTCTATCCATTGCCAGATGACGGTTCTATGGTGATATGCAAGATATTCATCAGTGTGGCTATAGCATAAGGCCAGTTCAGCCACTCTCTCCTTTGCTGCCCAAGAAACAAGCTGGGGACATCTCCTTGGACCTAGGAACCCCTCTAGAGTCAAGTCTCTTGCCAATGCTAAAATGGCTCCCTTAATTAAGATATCTACATTCCTGTTCCCATATCCACCCTTCCTCCATCCCAACCATCCCATTACACCAAACTCCATCCCATTTCCCACATCTCCTGCAAAAAGCTCCATTATTTCCTCTCATCTCTCCTTCATATTCTTTATCTCTGTCCCTTGCTTACCTGATCTTTCCTGTTCCCATCCCCACCTACCTCCAGTGCACCCACAAAATCTATTCTATTACGTCTTCCCAAAGAAATCCATGCATGTCCCTCAGAGTCATTTTTGTTACTTAATCTTTCTGCATCTATGGCTTGAACTGTGACTAACTGTGATTCCTATGGTTGTACTTTACTTAACTGCTAATATGAACTTATAACTGACTATATCATATTGGTTTATGTGCTTCGGGGTTGCTTCACTCAGGGTAAAAAAAAAAGTCCTGGAAGTAGACAGCAACCAAATAATTCAAATATGGTGGAGTACACCTCTAAATGGAATACTCAGTAGAGGAATTTAAAAAAGATGAGACACATTTAAAAATATGTTCACTCTCATTAGCCATTAGGAGATTTCCTCATAAACTTGACAGAAAGGATGAGTTCAACAAGTGACAGCTAATGCTCCAAAGTTGTGGAGCAAGGGGACTCATTGCTCTTGCAATGCAAACTTGTCCAGCCACTCTGGAAATCAATATGCAATCCTCAGAATATTGGGAGTCAATCTACCCCAAGACCCAGGTATACCACTTTGTGTATATTCATAAAGCATGCTATTCCATCCTACCACATGGACACTTGCACGACTCTGTTCATAATAGCCAGAAACTGCTGTGTCTGTGAGAGATTGTGTTGATTGATGATTGATGTAGGAAGCCCCAAAGAAGGTGGAACTGTGCTGTGATTTGGATCATTCTGAGCATAAGGTAGTGACTAGGCAAGAGGGAAAGGCTGTAAACAGTCTTTGCCAATGGTTTTTGCCTTCAACTGTTAGCTTGCAGTTTTTCCTACTCTTTTTCCAAAATGATTGAGTGTGATTTGACACAATCAATGAAATAATTCCATTTACTGCCTGAGATGCTTTCAGTTTGAGGATTTAATCACAAAAGCATAAAAGCTGGTTAGCACAAACAATTACAACACAATAGTTGATTTTGTTTGTCGGTAGAATATAGGAATGATGACTTTTGCAAGAATGTGGAAGATATCAAGATTTTTATGTGACAGAAAATAGAAACCTGAACATAACTAACTCTTCTTGTAGGACTAGGAAAATGAAAATGTAATGGCAGAAAGTGGGTATTGAGATCATAGAATTTCAGTTGAAAATAAACTTGATTAAAAAAAATCAAGCCTGAGGTCTTTGTCTGATTTTTTTTAGTTTTGTTTTCCAAGACAGGATTTCCCAGTGTAACAGTCTGGTCACAAACTCAGAGGGATTCACCTGCCTCTGTCTCCCCAGTGCTTGGCTTAAAAGCATGTGTCACCACCATCCAGACTTTTTTGTGATATATTGGCTCTAAAATTTTTCTTACTCTGCCTATGCTCTGGAAATTTAGTAATGCCAAATTATAAATAAAGTAATGGGCTGATGTCTTAAATGGAATATTGAAGCTGTTCAATAGTTATGACTGATGAGTCATTTAGGTGTACAGTAAAAAGAAACAAGTAGGGCAGAAATAAATGAAAATGAAAAGGTAGTTTCAAAGGGCATTTTGTGTTAAAACAGGCA